CCTGGAAATTAAAATGGTTAAACATGGATCAGAGTCCTTGAGTCCAGAGAGACTTGAATGTGAACATGGACGACTTCTTAAGAGAGCCAACTATTTTCAATAAAGTTAGACCCTTTAAAATCCTGTAAAGTAAAAAAAAAATATTAAGATAAAAATATCTGAACGTAAAACAGATTACATAAACCTTTTTTGGATATCACTGTTACCTAAAATGCACCTGGAAATTAAAATAGGGACGCCGGAAATAGGGACTCCAAACCATTTTAACCAATTACAAAAACACTTCAGTGTGAACTGCTTCAAATGGATCAGAGTCCCTGTTTACAAAAACACTTGAATGTGAACATGGACTACTTCTTGAGAGAGCCAACCATTTTCAATAGAGCTTGACCCTTTAAAATCCTGTAAAGTTAAAATGGTTAAATCTAAAACTTCTTCAGACAGCCAACCATTTCCAATATAGCTAGACCACCTTAAATTAAACATTATATAATTAATTTGGTTATTCAAGTTTTAAACCTGTAAAAAAAAATCAGATACTCTGTATTGTTAAAGCAGCTCTTCGTGTCAAAAACACTTTGCTGTACACTGTTTGCATGCTAGTTGTAAGTTGTACGTAACTTAGCATTACTGTGATGACCAAATGTTGCTCGTCCCCTAAAAATCTGTGAAACATGCTCATAAAGTCTTGTGAAGAATACTAGAAATGGACTCACTGCACATCTGTACACATCTACACACATCTACAGAGGTGTGCATGAGGCAGGGAGAGCTGCAGACAAATGCATAAAAACATGTGCACCACAGATACTATCAGATGATCGATAAAAGAACACAAGACAAGGACGAGAACGACCACGACATCAACAACTGAACACAACTGAACACAACTGTAGAACGCGTACTGTGCTACATGCGACCACAAATGAGCGAGCAGTTCTCAACGTATCTAACACACTCCTGTGTAGATTGTAGATTGACCGGTTCAAATGAAAAGCGATGCTGCGTTTACGTGCCGTAACTGTTTTGGTGTGAACTGGGGGTGAATACAAACTAAACAGTGAGGCGCTCATTTGCTTGGCTAAGCGAACGAGCGAGCAGTTCTGAACGTATCACCCCAAAACACCACAGTGCTGAAATGTTTAGGCCTTTTGTGAAGGTCCTGAAGTTCCTGACGGTTCTGCTTGGGTTGTTTTAAGTTGAAAGATTAGGTAGCTAGCTTGAGCTACTCTTTCACAGGTTGAAAATGTAAAAAAACAAGTGACATTATCGCAATTTATCGCAGTCATTTAGTAACGTGGCAGGTTTAGCGAATGTTCAAAGCCTTTGGAAAAGTACAAAATTGATGAAAAATAGCAATCACGAAAAGGCGAACTAATATATAAAGCCATAAATAGCTACGAAAACGTGTAGAACCAAGTAGAGTTGAACTTAGATATTGCTAGATATTGGGAAAGGGACTACATGTAGATACCCTTTTTAAACCCCAGATAGCTCACGTGTTCAACTTGGTTCAAAAATCACATCCAGATTCACCACCACAGAAAGAAAGAGGAAAAGTCGCCATCCACAAAAGACTTGTGAGTTTTGACTTCTTCTTTATCTGTGTAGTGAGGCCAACTATTTTCAATATAGCTAGACCCCTTTAAAATCCTGCAACGTTTAAGAAATATTGAAATACTAAAAAAAAATATCTGGACCTAAAACAGATTACAAAAAACATTTTGTATATCAATGCACTTGGAAATTAAAAAAAATGGATCCAAGTCGTATCTAATTACAAAAAACTCTTCTGAATGTGGACGACAACTAATTTCAATGTAGCTTCACCCCTGTAAAATACTCCAAATATATCTGGACCTAAAATAGATTGTCCGAAAAGGTTTACACACCTAAAATGCACCTGGAAATTAAAATGGTTAAAATGGATCAGAGTCCTTGAGTCTTACAAAAACACTTGAATGTGAACATGGACTACTTCTTAAGAGAGCCAACTATTTTCAATATAGTTAGACCCTTTAAAATCCTGTAAAGTTTAAAAAATGTTAAGATGAAAATATCTGAACGTAAAACAGATTACATAAACCTTTTTGGATATCACTGTTACCTAAAATACACCTGGAAATTAAAATAGGGACACCGAAAATAGGGACTCCAAACCATTTTAACCAATTACAAAAACACTTCAGTGTGAACTGGTTTAAAATGGATCAGAGTCCCTATTTACAAAAACACTTGAATGTGAATGTGGACTTCTTCTTAAGAGAGACAACCATTTCCAATATAGCTAGACCGCTTTAAAATAAACGTTAAATTGAATTAATTTGGTTATTCAAGTTTTAAACCTGTAAAAAATCAGATACTCTGTATTGTTAAAGCAGCTCTTTGTGTCAAAAACACTTTGCTGTACACTGTTTGCATGCTAGTTGTAAGTTGTACGTAACTTTACTGTGATGACCAAGCGTTGTTCGTCCCCTAAAAATCTGTGAAACATGCTCATAAAGTCTTGTGAAGAATACTAGAAATGGACTCACTGCACATCTGTACACATTTACACACATCTACAGAGGTGTGCATGAGGCAGGGAGAGCTGCAGACAAATGCATAAAAACATGTGCACCACAGATACTATCAGATGATCGATAAAAGAACACAAAACAAGGACGAGAACGACCACAACATCAACAACTGAACACAACAACTGAACACAACTGTAG